GTGCTACCTCAGGAGTTATACATTTTTTGCGAGAACCTCGAGTAAAACGCTGCCAGCAGAATATCAGTGTAAGATTTCACAGCGATGCTGACGAGTATGAGCAGTTGAAGTGTTGTATGCGGAGCTTTAGTCCCGAAAGACACCAATCCTTGCGATTCGTCAAAATTACTGGCAATGGTATTAACTACGATTAACGCAACCACATTGTGTTCTGACGCATATCAGAATTGCCAGCAAGCAATATGTTCCACTAAGTCTGAATAAGTTGAAGTAGAGCTGATTTCTTCTGAGCATTCAGATGCAGTCAACTGCTGTAGCTGGCCAAAGATTTTGGTACAGCAGTTATTCATAGCGTCTGCCATAAATGTGACTCTTCATCTTCTGCTAGATAGTGGTCGCACACTGTAGAAAGTGAATCAGTACAAAACTTCAAGACCATAGGATCTACGCTGTGTGGTCTGAAATCCTGGTAGCTGTCATTATGTGTACCTGTCGACGTAAAGTATCAGATGCAATGATGTGTGACGACAAGACAACCTGGCGGTTCACAAGCATCGCTCCCGCCAAGTCGCTATGCAGATATATGCCTGCTTTCTCATTTTCAAACCATAAAAAATAGCTGTTTAGTTTCAGGAACTACATCCAGGGATTTGATCTTAGCCGGTCGACTTTAGCCTATTTATCCTTCCCTTTTTACAGTCGAAGGATGCAATATTTAAAATTCAGAAGAGCAAATTCCCTAATACCGAAAGGTGTTTACCATATCCAGCGCGCATCAGGCCTTGTAAGAAATTAAATGGGATCAGGGAGAGCAAAAGCCGCTAACGGTATAAAACCATGAAAGTAAAATATTCGCATAGGAAAATACTTGAAAGCGCGGTACAGTCGATTAAACAATAAAACAGAAAATTACCTCCAAATTCTAATTGACAATTAATTTAGCGGGGACACCGAATTGCATGTGATCGACAATACGCCATACAGTAATCTTGCATAGCAATGCTTGTTGTCCATTGTTCCCTATATGTTTAAAGTGCGAAGTCAAATTTGACTGGTACCATCTTGCGAGTTTTAGAGATGTCACTTGGACCCTGACAAAATATGGAATTGAATGTTTGGCTAATTTTGTCAAAGAATGCTGGTCTCCTAAAATTTTTAGCAGCAACATATGTTTTTATTGCATAGTGCCTGCTATGAACAACAGAAACGCTTAACAACAGAGAAAGAAAGATGAAACCGTCTGTTTTGACATCTGTAAAGTTCGCAGTGGCATATGCACTTCAGATTTGCGACTGCTTCTGTTCAGATGGTACAACTTTAACTAGTTAGCTTCCATGACTTCGACATCTGACTCCTCTGTTGCAGATGCTGCTGCTGATTCCAAATCTTCGAGCTCAATCTCCTCCTTCACTTTAACCATATCTGCGGCAGGAGATTGGATGAGGCTGATATTCTTCTTGAGGTTGGCAAGGTCTTCTGCTCTCTTCATCACAACTCCTTTCAGAAGCCTATATTTAAAAAAAATTGAATAAAATAGCAAAAATGATGAACACTCATCAAAGTATCTATTAAATTTTGGCTCAAATAGATCAGTGGGCGAAGGATCACAACTTCAGCAGTTACTAAATAAACACATATACTGATTACACTTGGTTGAAAACGATAGTTTGGTATGAACCTAAGCCGATCTAATAAAGACCAGTGATATTACTGTGACAGTCAAACTATGAGTGTGCTGTGTTTATTCTTCTGCGTTTTGGGAAACAGCAGAGCAACCGGTACTTATTCAACTAGCATGGCACATTTTCATGGCACAGTATTATGCCACGATGCATACACGGGGAAGCACATTAGATATGTACTTACTCTTGATTATACTTTAGAGCAGTGATAGTATATCGAAGCTATGACGAAAAACGCGGGTCCGAATCGTAGCCAATCCACCAACCCTTCTTTGTTCCCAAGATGATACATGAGTGTCATAATGGGGAGATAAAATAAAAGCTACAGATTTCAGTAGCGATTTAGTTACTAATATTACCTTCATAAAGATATTTTACTCCTGGCTGATGACATCGAAAGGAAAATCATCGCAGTAGCGTAATTTCAAACATCAAACAAAGCAGATTGCGCCTATCATTAAAGTAAAGGAAATCGACAGTCCATTTTCTCGCTTTTGTCTGAGTAGCTACGACTCTTTCTGTCCGCTTTCTTATCTCTCAGTTTTCGACAAACGATATTCGAACTGTCAGTGTTACGTCCTTTGGGTTAATTTAAGGGTGGATCACCACAGGTGATGCCTCCAATTCGCTTCGATTTCCATAAACAAGATTTGACAAACCGCTGTTAACTCATCACGATGAAAGAGAAAGCATTCTGATCGTAGATCTAATGATGATCAGTCCAGTTCTATAAGGCATCTAGACTTCACTGTCTTATCTGTATACAAACAACGCGCTATCTACAGATTCATAAAAAATGAATTGAATTAAATTAAAAAAGGAAGAGGGACATTTACCTATTCGCAAGATATAAATTTTGGCGCTTCTGCTTGACATGGTCGATCTTTTTTATGAGTTCGGCTAAAACAAAAATATTAGTAGCGCAATCACAGTTCGCATTCAAACGATGTAGAGTGATTCTCACACTGGGGTACGTCAGAAAAGTCATCTTCTCAAAGACCAGTTTCTACAGCTTATTGCACTGACTCTTGCTTGCGGCATTTAAGCACGTCATGGCTTTAAAGTATTCGAGCGCTTGGTACGATTCGAATAACAGGTACATCTCGCATCATTTTATTCCCTAGACTCGCCTCGCACTCATTACGAATAACGTTTCATGACCTGGTCTGGGAGGAACCATGTGTTATCCGACACATTCCGGAATAAGAACACATTTTTATGTTCACTTAGCAGCAAACAATCAGTGCCAGCTCCAAAAATATCTTTCGTGATGAGCGCCAGCTTCTTCTAGTAGAAAAGATTATGCGAGATCTATCTGGAACCACATGTGCTCAAAAACCATGGAGTCGTGCCTGCTCAAGCGGACCCCGTAGGCAACTAGCAGTAAGAAGGCGACGCCATAAGCCGTGAAATCCTGTCTTGGATGACCTATACGTTATTATGATTATTACATCGAACTGATTAACTATAAACCTCTCAATAACCTGATGAAATTTCTCATTATACAGCGACATTATTCGGTTTAGGCAGGACTGCTAAATAAAATCTTGCTTCCAATGACAGTGCGTTGAACATTTCTGAAAATTTTAAAAGCAGGGATATAGTACAACCGAGAATGAAGCCCCATTGAGAATAAGGCTCAAGGTTTCTACAGCAAGAAATGCAGAAAGGAACATTTCAGAAGGCATCGCCTTCGTCAGCGAAAGGAGCGACGACGAAAGCACATTAGTCGTTCGAACCTAACATAGGATATCAAATGTAAGCTAATTGAATGGACCTCGTCACTCCATAACCATGGAACTGAACATCTACTTACTGGCATTGGTCCAGAAGTGTCTACTATATTTAAGAGGCTCGTTTCGCCGTTTTTCGAATTCCAAAACAGGGTCCGACGTCAAATCCTTCTGCCTCACCCGTCGAGCTGCTTTAGTCCATCTCATCTTGCGCGGGTTCCTCTTCATGTTGTACGACTTTCGACACTTGGAGCGGCAAAATCGTACGATCTACGTTTAAAGTGCAAAATTAAGACTCGGTTAGAGACCAAATCCAGCTCGAAAACATACGAATCACTTACCTGACAATCGTTTCGCACGAAAGTTATGCCGTGACCAGGGTAAATCGTTGACGAACAGAACCAACACTTCTCCAGCCGCATTTTTCAATTTACACAATGTAACTAAAAATACATATATAGCAACAAAAAATTGACGAAAAATTTTAGCTACTGTCGGAGTTAGCTAGTCGACATGCTTTTAAAAATTTTGTTATACTGATATATGTATATGAAATATATACATATATATGAAATAATGATGACATAAACATAAAATTACAATATCGGCATATAAGTATCAAAATAATATATCATTTACTTAATACGATAGATACTAATTCAAAA